TTGGTAGGGTGGAGGGTCGACGAAAGAGGGGGAGGCTTTCAACGAAATGGACTGACATGGTGGCTGCAATGATGGGCTCAAGTATAGCAGGGATCATGGGGCTGGTGCGGGATCGGGCAGTGTTTCATTCTGCTGTTCATGGAGTCACTACGAGTCAGAAACAACTTGACGGCACCTACCAACAACAACAACAACTACATAATGATAAAGACTTCAATTAATCCGAAAGATATAATAATTACAAATATATACATACCTAGCCTAAGAGTCTCAAAGTACATAAAACAAATACTGAAAGCATTGAAGACAAACAGGCCTGCAATAATAGTTGAAGACTTTAATATACCATTTTGAATAATGTATAGAGAAACCAGAAAGATCAGTAATAAAAAAAGATTTTTATTAACCAACTACATGAAACAAGCATACATAGAATGTCCCACCCAGCAACAGCACAATATATATTCTTTCCAGAGCACACTGAACCATCTTCACAACAGACCCTATCTTAGGACATAATACAAGACGTAACAAATTTAAAAAAATTAAAATCATACAAAGTGTCCTTTCTTATCCCAATGGAATAAAACTAGAAATAGCAGAAAGAAAACTGGAAAATACACAAATATCTAGAAATTCAACAACATAATATGAAACAACCAATGAGTCAAAGAAGAAATTGAGAGAGAACGAGCTCAACAATACTTAGTAGTGAAAATGAAAACATAACATACCAAAACTTATAGAATGTAGTGAAGGCAACACTTCAGGAAATTTTATAGCAATAAATGCCTACATTAAAAAAGAAGAAAGAGCGCAGATGAACAGCCTACCTTTACAACTTGAGGAATTAAACAAAGAAATGCAAGCTAAGCCTAAGCTACCAGAAAGCAAACAATAAAGAAGAAACAGAAAATTTAAAAAAAAGAAGAAATCAGAAGTTGGTGCTTTGAAAAGATCAACAAAATCAATAAACCAATAGGCAGATGGAGGAGAAAAAGATACAAATATCTGAAATTAGAAATGAAAACTGGGACATTACAACAGACCTACAGAAATAAAAAGAAAATACTATGAACAGTTGAATACCCCCACAAAGGATAACTTAGAGGAAATGGACAAATTCCTAGAAGCATATAAACTCCCTACAATGACTGAAGAAGAAATAAGAAGATTCTCAACAGACCCTTAACAAGTAAAAAGAATGACTCAGTAATCAAAAACTTTGCAACAAATAAAAACCTCAGACCTGATGGCTTCACTGCTTAAGTCTACTAAACATTTATAGAAGTGAATCTAGTGCTACTTAAGTATTTATTTGTTTTAATAAAGGAGAAGGGAGCATTTCCTAACTCATTCTACAAGGCAAACATTACTCTGATAATAAAGCCAGACAAAGATACCACAAGAAAACCACAGACCAATATCCCTTATGAATATAGATGCAAAAATTCTCAACAAGATACTAGTGAAATGAATGCCAAATCGTATAGGGGTTCCGGCAAGATGGCGCACTAGGCAGAAAGACTGCACAGACCCTCTTCAACAAAGAAAAGGGAAACCAATTAACACAGACACAGATGATAGTTTTGGACCCGAGTCTTGATAGGAAGGATATAGAAGTGGACTGAACCCCAACTAGCAGAAGAATTTGCGTGAAAAAACCAAAAAAGGAGACATATGGAGCTGCAGTCTGGCAGCGATCCTGACTGCACAGACAGCTTGGAGATTCCTGAGTGGTGGTAGGACCTAAGAATTAACCTAAAAATCAGCCCTGATAGCCAGGGACTACACAGAAGACTGCTCTGGTGGCTGGGGAATAAATGGAGAAGGAGAAGAGAAGGGTGGGCTGAGCTGTGGACTTTTGCTGGTCCAGAGGACGCCGCCATTTTGAAGGTCTAAAAGCGGCTTGACTATTTGGGTATTTCAAGAGACAGCACTCTCGCAGATTCCTGGGGCTTAAGAACACGTTCTGCTTTCCAGCAATCCCAAGGACACTCTGGACCTGCAAGAGTGAAAGATACCATATTCCTCATTACTCATATTCCCCACACCCGCTTGGTGAATAGAGGAGCGGCCATTCCCCACTCCTATCTACCTTCTGGGCCCATAGGAATTCCATCACAGTCTGTGTGGTCAGAAGAAGCCTGGGTGCCCAGCCCTGTCCTCCACCAATTTTTTTTTTCTTTTTCGCTTTCTTTTTTATGGTGATTAGTTTGCTT